TAAAAATTTTCCTCATTTTGCCCATACTCTTTTTTCGATGTAAGCAAAACTTGCCTATTGGTCTAAAAATCCTGGTTGCGCCACTGGTTGTTTCCGACATATACATATCGATGAATTGCATTGATATCGTGGCGCGTTGGATGAAAAATATGAAAAACATAAAATCGTTAGAGATGAAGTATTTTTGGCTACCAATTTCTTTACTAAAAAATCAAGGTTTGTTGGAAAATCAGTGTTTTTCTTAGCCTTTGTGACAAATTAGAGAAATTAAAAATAACATGTTCAAGAAATTCTTCACCAAAAAGTAATAAATAAGACTTTATATATTGTTATTATATGTCAATCGAAAGCTTGCGATAAGAAGAATACAATGAACATACGTGAAATATGTGTGAAGAATATGACATAATAGCTCCATAATTACATTTCCTTCCAGTCATGAAGCATTTCACAGTGGAAAAACAGTTGATTAAAATCAAATAATTTTTTTTTTTATATATCTATTACTTTAATCCATCGTGACATTTTTTTGAGTAAAATATAATTTTTTCGAGCGGGATACATGTTAACGAGCTGAATTGTTTTACTGCAGAAATCTCACACAATCAATTAAAAAAGAGAAAATAATCTCCTCTGTAAGTCGTCTAATTCCTACAACAATGAGAAAAACAAAATCGAAAATCTGTCGCGATATTAATCAAACAATAGCTACTTTTAACGAGTATTCTTAAGTTTTTTATTTTTTTCAAAGTATTTAAAGAAGAATATTCTTATGAAAATTATGTAAGATATCTTGGACACGGACTCGACCTTTTCTTCAACGGATTCGCAGACGAGCGTATTCCAACTCTGATCACATTCGTTCCAAGTAGAACTGGGTAATAATAAAAGGCCGAAGCAGACCGAAGCTGTATAATTGGCCGAAGATGAATGATATAGCCAGTCGACCAATCAGCGCTTCTTCGGACGCTTCGACGTTCGGCCCAGCTTCGGCCTTTTATTATTACCCAGTAGAACTCGGTGAGCGCTATCTATTCCAAAAAAATATTCCCGGAAATATCCTTCCTTACGTATTACAAATGCAAAATATCGTTAAAAAAAACCTAAAACACCATGAAGATTTTTAAAAAAGCAAGCACGTATTCGTTTCTTCAGTTCTAACTACCATTCTAACACTTGCTCCAGATACAACGCAATGAGATCTATCGATTCCAATCATAAAAAGAATTTCACCCACACTCACCCTCACACACTCCAAACTCATCCAAATCATACTATAAACACAGTAAGACCTGTGCAAATTCACAAAGGATCATCATTAATGCGGCTTCGTATATGAAAGCTGGAGTTCATGGAAATTGGGTAAGGGTGAGTGGAAATTTTTTTATGATTGAATTCGATAAAGCTCATCGAGTTGTATCTGGAGCAAGTGTTAGAATGGTAGTTAGAACTGAAGAAACGAATACGTGCTTGCTTTTTTAAAAATCTTCATGGTGTTTTAGGTTTTTCTAACGATATTTAGCATTTGTTATGCGTAAGGAAGGATATTTCCGGGAATATTCTTTTTGGAATAGATAGAGCTCACCGGGTTCTACTTGGAACAAATGTGATCAGAGTTGGAATACGCTCGTCTGCGAATCCGTTGAAGAAAAGGTTAAATCCGTGTCCAAGGTATCGTACATTGCAAATTTACAGAATAATTTAAAGAAATTTCGCTTCATGCAATCAACACTACCTAATTCGATTCATAACTTTCATTTTTACAAATATTGCTGAATGTTGATAATTTTGATCTTCTGGATTCCACAAATGAGAATGTCATGGAATTCGAAATTTTAAAAAAGAAAAAGATAAATTACGAAAATATGTTTAGTACAAGTTTATACGTATGTAAAGCTTTTCTTCCTTCCAAAACAATTGACGATAGATATAAGTGCGTTTATATTTCCATCTATATCTTCTCCCGTTCTCTTTCCAAAGATCGTATTGTGACGATTTCTGATGCAAGACATATATGCGCTGATGGTACTACGCCTATATTTATTTCTTCCTCGTAAATCGCATCGTTCTGATACAAAACACTCGTTTATACACTAGTTCATAAAGAAGAGAACGCAAGCAAATATATAAATATCATATCAAAGTACACGAGAATGTATCGAAGAAAGGACATAATAAGTATAATCCATTAGATGAGAAAAATCGTATCATTCGCACAGCGTGTGTCAGAGAGATTGTCACACGTATGTGTGCCAACAATGGCACTACACCATGAATTTCACAAGGATCTCATTCGTCTTTTGATCTGTTTCAGCTTATCCTTAATCTATTCTTGTCTTTATGTTCTTTGTCTTCGGTTCGTTTTTATGTTTTTTTATCCTTCTTCATATGGTCTTTCTTTCGAAGTACGCCCTTTAGTATTATATATATGGATACAGGAAGGAAATGTCCATGAGAAAAACCATGAGTGTGGGTGTGGGCGCTGCTGTCAGTGTCCCTTCTTCACTGATCCACAGTAACACTCTTACCCTCACGCGTTGTGCAAATCCGGTTTGAAAAGCGAGTTTCGTACTTTGCACGAATGAGGATAAACGATTTGAAGGATATTAGAGCTACTCTCCTTCGTGAGGATTATGTTCATTCTCCTTAACACGCACGCGCACAGCTAGTTATATAGAAGTAGAAAGGGAGAGAGGGAGAACAAAGAGTAAAGTGACTGGACGCTAACATGCGTCCCTCTCCTAACAAAACGTGCGTCCGCACACAATTTACAGAAAATTCAAGAGCTACAAAAAATGAAAATAAAAATTCCGAACAGAGACGAAATATTCATGCTGGTTCATTGGCTTAGGTAGTTGACACTGTTGATTTGGTTTGTTTTCCAGTTGTTTTCTTTTCGATATTCGGTGGTTCGGCTTTGCTTGTTTTTTTGGTTTTTTTTACCATCTTTTGTAATATCGTTTTTCCGAGAAATAATTCACCCACACCCTTTTCCTTCTTGCTTCTTCTAGTAATGTTAGTGATTTGAAGTTGATTGTCACATCTTTTTTTATCTTCAGTGATTTTAATTTGATGTGAATGATAAATTCCATCATTTGTGCCCTAATCTTTTATTCGGTCAGCGACAGTTCAAATTCAATAGTTACTAGAAACTGGGAACTTGAAATGTACATCAGTTCTAGCTCAGAAGAACTGTAACTCTTCAGCAGTTCTAGTTCAAAAGAACTGTAACTCCTCAACAGTTCAGGTTTAAAAGAACTGTGATGCTGAGTAAGTTCCTACTCAAAGAACTGAAAATGAACTTGTAGCTTGAAAACTCTGCTATTGTAATGTTTATGTTCTTTGTTCGTTCGTTGAGGCGGTCGATATTGAAGTGATATGTAAGATGCAGTAAGCATCTTCTAGATCGTCGAGTTAAATGTTGTTCGATGCCCAGGCCAATCAATCCCGTACTCGGATCCTTTCCGATCCCATGTCGGATCTCATCGGATCCAAAACATGAATTTTCCCGATTTTCTAAGGGTTATCATAGAATATATCTAGAAAGATCGCTCATAAAATTTGCAACAACCGACGGGATTTTCCTAGTCGGATTCCATTGCAATTCCGTTTTCAGGAATCCGATCAGATCCAGCATCGGATTTGTTGACCTGGGATCATTTTTATCAATAAATGCTGGTGATTTAAGTTGATTTAAACGTTCTTTGAATAAATTAAACGCTTCCATTTTCAGGTATACATGTACATACAGCAAGCAACAATAAATCTTGTATTTTTCTTGAAAAGAGAACAAACAAAATAACGACATAAAGAAAGAAAAGCAGATAATAAGTTCATGCTAACGTAATGAGCAGTCGACAGATGGCAAAGTTGTACAGAAGAATAATTAACACTGTTTACCTATATATACTACTACCATCTCGCTAACAAATTCTTTCGAAAACCATCAAATATATCTTACAGACCATCCGAAATAAAGAAGATACTTAAACATTATGTCAGTTATGGTGAAACAGAACGTCTTTTTTTTCCTATAGTAAAAGCTATGCATCGAGTTTTTTATATGGGTCATTTAGTTCCTCATGCTGATCCATTCTTTTTTAAGATTATTGATTTTGACTATGCAAAAGATAATCATTGTGTCTATCTACATGGACAATTTTTACCGACTGCTAATGCCGTCAGTTTCGCTCCATCCAGTCGAATATATCCACCAGTTATGACACCTGCTTATGTTCATCCAACGATTTCACCCTCAAATCATATGATACCACCAATGCATCCATCTAATCATTCAATAACACCAATACATCACCCATACCATATGACGACAACACCAACTCATCAACCAAATCAAAGTGTTGTAGGAGGATATCTTAGAAGTAACGATTCAGTTCATAGTTGTATCTTAATATAATTGTTTGTTTTTCTTCAACTCATGTTTCCCTTTTCTTTTCTTAATACTGACGATGAAGGATACATTTAAACAACACTATTTATATACAAAGACGAGAAAAAAAAACAATAATTAAGAATTAAAGATCACGTCAATGTATTTAATAAACATGAGAGTTCAATTGATGGTTTAAGTTTCAGTTTCATCCGGATCTTCATGACCTTTAAGACGTATTCGAGCAAATTCTTCAAAAATAAAATCATCATCATGACCATTTCCATCAAAACTAAACAAAAAAACATATAAATGAATTCGTTTTCTTTGTCAAACATTTCATCGAACTTTGCATCAAGTTGAATCAAATTATGATCAATAGGAATATCGTTAGCTTGATTGCCATCCCTACATTGTTGATCCAATAGTCGGGATGGTGAGGGTGTCGGAGGCGGTTTGGGATGAGTCAGCGTAAATGGCAATTCAACAGATAAATCTCTATATGATGAAAATATTTTTACAATTTATTCTTCATTCAATTGCATCGTTTACCCTCCCATTGAAACAACAATTTTCACTTTGACTTTGTATTGAACAACAATACCGAGATTTTCCTTCTGAGTATTATTTCCCATTCTAAATCAAATCGAAATCCGATTTTGTTATTCGTTTTTTTTTTCAAAACGCATATCTTACATAGTCGACGACGCTAAATTCGTATCTTCATGTTTTAATTTGCCATCCAAGGCTAAACCTCTTTTATCTTTATTATTCGCCAACAGTGGTGTCAATGAATAAACTTTCGTTAATGTTGAACATGGTGTAACTGGAAATCCTTCACTAAAATTCAAAACAAAACTCATTGAATCTCACTTTGCTTTTCGAACACGTCAACACGAAGAAAACAAATGTTTTATCAAAGTTCATACTCGCTTTCTAAGTCAGCAACTGTACATTTGTAATGTGCATTTGTAAATAAACATATTTCAGCAAATTGTTTCACTAGAACACAACATGTAAAGCATGACAACATTGAAGGACAAACCGAAGAATTCGATTAACAGAAGCGATTGTTAAGTACAACAAAACAACGAATATTTCGAGTAAAATTACCTCGATTCGAGTGCGGCGACATCACATCTGTACTGTGTTGATGAGTACAGACAGATTTCTGCATTTTGTACAACTGAGTAGAGATAAACAATGTATTATGACAAAAATCTTTCTTCTCTCAAGAAATTTCTTCTTAACATTTCAGAAAAGAAATCAACTCGAAAAACCAAAAATATTTACCTGCAATACGAATCTTTCGTAAAGTTTTATTTGAATTATTCGTCACAACAACATTAACATTGATGCTTTCACCATGATAGTACATCTAAATAGAATTTTGACATATAAAGATCGTTTTCTTCTGTCTTCGAACCTCTTTGTCTAACGTGCATTCTAAATGTAGAGGTGCTGGTGACATCATAAATTCTTTATGTGCTTCGATAACTGGCTGTGGCGCAGGAATTTCAGGCGCGTAGGTTAGTTTTCTAATTGCTAATCGAACGGAACTTCGTTTATGNGCAAAACCAAATTCTATTATCTAAGTAGGCGAATATCATTCTATCTGTTTCTCTCTCTCTCTATCTATATACGAGAAAAGAAATGTTGCGAATATGTAATAATAATCAATAGGGAAAATAGAAGACAAACTATCATCCATCTGTCGATAGTGAAGAGAAATTGTCGACCTTCAGATGAGAATCAATTCTTCATCTGGAATATTTCTTTTAGTCTAGCTAGACGAATAAATTGAAAAGACATTCTTGACAAAGAATCTCCTAATGATAATTTTTGACATCAAAGATAACTAAAGAAGAAAAGGGAAAAGAGAAGGTTTTCTTTTACATATTTTTTCGAACAAAAACAATGACGTCAGAGAGAAAATTATCAATAAATAAAAAGAATAGAAGATTACAGATGAAATCATATATTTCCCTGGTAAATTAACATACAATTTTCCTTTTTTTTAATAACTCAACTTTCAATTAAATGAAAAAGCAGATTATCTCTATTTAATGTCATTCGATTAATGTCATTTTATCTAGATAAATAACGTCTTTTTCATCAATAATTCAATTTTCGCACGTATTTTTTACTTACGGTTTCATATAGACATTTAATTCTGACTTCTCCTCATTAAATCAGATGAGCCCCAACGCGAATTAATCACATGCAGACTTTCACCATGTTCGTCAATATATAGAGTCGTTCCCATCGTGCATCTTTGTCTTCTTTATCCTTATTTTTCATATCAACTTGACGTTGAATGCATTCTTTTCCTATTTGTAACTCTTACAAACGTTCTTTTTTTCTTCGTCTTCCTTCTTTTGTGCTTAAAGATTTCTCTTCTTTGTATTAGACGAGACACGGAATAATAGTAATCATAGAGAAAGGAACGTTTTACGAAGAAAAAGAAGGAAAGAACGATGCACTCATCTAACGTCTGTTATAATTAAAAGGTCCATAAGCAAAAGATGGCAGGAAGAATAATCGGAGAAGCGAGATGAAGAAACTTTTCATTTTCAATATTTAACTTTTTTATCTGATTTTTTCGACCTGTTGATAAATTAAAAGAGACTCTTTAAACGATCAAGAGGGAAATTTGTTCTAAAAACCAAAAGGAATATTTTTCTCTTGTGTACTGACCAACTGAGTAAATGGTTTCCTAATGAAAGAAAATCTTTATTAACAATACCGTGTTCCTTGTTTCTTGGAATCATCAAAATCAAAATCCAGTGGAATGTTGTTGTTGATTTGTTCTTGTTTCGCCATGTTGAAATTTTTTTAAATGAAGATTAAAGAGAAAAATCTTGTCTGACTGCTGTTTGGCATATGACAAGATCTTTTATCTAAAGATGAACACATCAAATTAATTATTCAAACCCTTTCTTCTTCGTTTATATGTTCACGACAAGAAAAAACAACTTTGTATTCAAATCTGTCTTTTGATTTTGGAAGAAAAGATATGAAGAGATTGGTGAACTCTAAAATGGAAGAAAAGGAGATTTTCATCAACGGCAAATGATTAGAATTCTAAGTAACTTACGGAAATGATGGATTACTATTTCCTCATTTGTTTGTTAGTCGCCATCAATAACTTCCTTACCCTTTTGCTTTTCAAATCGATTCTTGTGACATCTATTGGCAAAATTTCAGTTCTTAATTAAATTTTCTTCCTCCAACATATTCAACCAGTGTTTTCCATTTCTGTATTACACACGGTAGAAGAAGATCTTGTTAACGAATGTTTTCTCAAGAGAAATTATTGAAAAAAAATGTTGTCTTTACAAAGATTACCACTGTATGTTGCTCTTAATGAAATTGCTCAGTGTATAGCTGTGAAAGGAAGTTTATATTTATAGGTCGAGTCGACGTTAATGTTATAGCTAATCTTTCGCTCTGAGTAAATTTCTTATTTCGAAAGATTTCATATTGATCTTAAAAGATTAAAGTCACACACCATCCATAAAGAATATTAATGTCGTTAGAACTCTTATCTGTTCATTGTTGTAAAAATTGAAATTCTATGAAGAAAACAAAGTCCTCGTGAAATGTTTTTTGACAAGTTCAACGATGTATGAAGTGAGCGAAAATGACAGTCATTTATTAAATATTCATTTCAAACCATCTCACATATCTATATTTGCTCAACCTGACGTAAAGAAATCGATTTCTTCAAATGAACATTTTCCGGTTCTTTCAACAACCAATTGAATATTTCTTGACAATAATACAACTCTGAAGAAAGACCACCTTTCTGTAAGTAACATACGAAAAGAAGTTTGTTTCGCACATCTTTTCTTTTTCCTTAAGAAATACATCGAAATACAAAATGATTAATCTTCACCCAAAGAAGTGTTGAAATGATTTATAAGAAAATATTAGCAAATAAAGAAGTCTAATCAAATGATAAATATTTTCATTATCAGATAAAAACACCGTTTTGAATAATAAAACCCTCACTACTCGGAGAATCAATATTACCGAGTTAGATATGATGATAATTGTAATTTTCTTTTGATTAATTATGAAACAAAAGTTCAAGTGTGATTGTCTAAGAATAGAGAAACAGAAAATGTACTCTAAGGTTGAGGAACGAGATGTGATTGTTATCATGCAATTGAAAAGCAAATTTTCTTTGTAAGACAAAATCGTTGTCGTGTTTGAAGAGACCTTGTCTGATGAATGAGAAAACAATTTGAATATTTAAATAAAAAGTTTATGAATAATTTATCGAATCAACAAAAGAAAAGAAAACAAAAGATTAACATCCAAGAGAACCCATTTGAAATTGTTTCATTGTCATTGCTTCAATATCACCCGATGTGATTAAAACACGTTGTCCATTGTAATTATTATGAAAGGAATTTGTCGAATTAAATGGATTCGAAATCGATGTAGCACGATAATTTCCATCAATTGCATGACGATTGGTTAAAATTTGATGATTTCCTTCGACTGAATGACGCCGAAATGTTCCATCGGACGAATTCGACAATCGACGATCAACTTTGACGTTTGTCGTTCGTCGTAAAACAGTCGTGGCAGCTGATGAACTCACATGTTTATTTGGTTCATCATTGGATTGATTTGCGAATGTTGATAAATGCTCCAAACGATCTTTCTGAAAAGGAAAACAGAAAGCAATGTTATTGTAATTTTTCTCGGCAAAAACAAAGATCGATATAATCAATTGATTACATGCATCAACAAAACTTGTTTTGTATTGACAAATCCAATAAGAATCGTTCTCTACTTACTAAATATTCTCGATCTTTTCGCTTCATTTCCCGCCGTCGTCGGTAAGTCTAAATAGAAGCGAATGTCGAATTGAAAATTATCGCGTGCAGTTCAGACAACTCACCACAAAATACATCCAAAGAAAAAATACAACGTGAAATAGTGTATAAATTACAGCGAAAGATATAAAAGCAATTTTATCCCAGTATGGTGCGATATCGGTTGGTAAAACAGCAATAATTGCGTGCCATACGCATACAGTACATAGCATAACCATGGATAGAAGAACATATTTATCCTAAACGAGGTGAATTTTTGAAAAAGACGAGATTTGCAAAGAGACGCTGACTCACTAGAGTTGTTAAGTAGGATATTGTCGGTAAACATCGAACAACAACCCATTTGAATGTGACAGATGTGAGAAGAAGGGTAAAACTTAATTGAAGACGATTCTGTGGAAGATTGTATGTTACACTAAATGTTGCAAATGCCATTACGGTGATGAAAAACTAGAAAATCTCATCGGTTAATTGACAAAGTTTGCTCAGAAGTGAAGTTTACGATTAGAAAATAAACATTCCAATAGAAATATCCCGGTCGTCGAGCAGCTCGGCCTGGAAAACATAAGTTTTGTTCAATTTTTAAAAATAATTCTTCTTACAAGTAGCAGAAAATGCTGGATGCTGATTTTGTGAAGGTGTAAACGGATTTGATAGAAATTTTGTTGACGTTTCGACATGTTCGTGTAAACGCCATTCTTGTTGATCGATAAATGCATCTTGACAAAGATAAAAGACAAATTTTCATCTAGAATTCTTTTTTTTTTTTAATCTTACGTGTATTAATTGCACTTAACTGACTTGTATCTGCTGTTAAGTAAACTTCATTTACCGTGCGAGTTGTTGAAACGGTGATGGATAAATCCTGATTAGAAAACATTTCATGAAAGTTTTCCAAGAAAATCAACGAAATTACTTGAACATCGACAGGAAAGTCATTCAATTCGAGGTTCTCCAGAAACACGCCTTTCACTTTTCTCATTTCATAAATCTAAACACTCAAACTCAAATAGTTTAAAATAACAAAACCTCTTTTTTATACCATCGGTGTATCAATTCCATCGTACACAACTTTATGCCATGTATCATTCTTCAAATCTCCCACCGAGTTATCCACGTATAACAATGGATTCCAAAATTTATTTGGATCAAAAGAATCGATGTTCTAGTTGAGAAAATCAAATAAACGTTTATCTTTGAAATGCGAAAATTCGTTCTTATAAGTGTTATACATACTTACATGTCACTTACCGTTCCTTTCAAGGTCGGTTCAGCCCATCGTGCTTGAATAAATGCTTCGGCTTGAAATTGTTCTTTTAATGTATCAATTTCTCCAATTTTCAAAAAGACTAAACGTAATTCAACAGTGACCTAAAGAGAACATAGTTCAACATTCATTTTCTCTTCATATTCATTCAAGCATGACATGTTGACCTGATCATCTTCTTCTCTCGGTCATTCATTTCATTTCTTTCTCTCAATCGAACATCTCACATCGATATGGAAAATATTTACTCAACAAAACTCGTTTCTCGTTCAACGACATTTCTTGTTCCACTTGGAATTCTCTTAATTCTGCTCGGAATGGCTTCTGTTATACTTTCCTCGATCGATTTAAGTAATAGTCGATCAACAGTTACAACAATTAACTCAACGGGTCAAGTCGTTCAGTATACAGTTCCAAGTTCGTACTCGGAACAATCGATTTGGCCAACACTTGCGAAAGGAATATGGTGTGGATTGTTTTTCATCGGTGTTGGAATCTTTTGTTTGATTTGTCATCGCGAGAAAACGTTAATTTCCATGCGAATTGTGGCATTTCTTGGATTTATTTCAATTTTTCTTAGTTTATTTCTATTTTTATCTTCAATCATCGTTTTTCAACGTTATATCTTCGAAGGTCGAACAAATGCCAATCAACGTACATCAATGGAACAAAAAGAAGTTGTTGTCAATGTTCTTCTCTTCATCTGCGGTGTTCTATCATTCATTATTTCACTTATTTTAACAATTGGTTCACTCATTTCGGGAAATTTTTGTCAAAACCAAGGCGATGAATTCGATAATTTCGCAAATGTTCTTCATCCACCGCCTCCGCCTGCTTATTCAGCACCTCATTATTAAACAATTCTTGACGAAATTAGACTCTTTTTCTTTCCTAATTACTCCTCGTTTTTGTAGAATGTTATTGTTAGAATAATTAAACTAGCATCAATGAATTCTTCTTTTCTCTTTATACTCGAAGGAGAAGAAGCTCATTGATAGTCTTCTGGATCAATGAAATTGTTTTATTAATTAGTTTTTATCGAGTCTCCCTTGTCAGATTAAATCAAATATGGTTCGAACGAACTATTAGGAGGTCTTTTTTCATGAGTATTCATTTGCTTTTTAATAAAGAAAAGTTTTCAAGAGAAACGAACTTACCCGTTCAAGTTTATGAACACCAGAATTATCATCGACCGGTCGAGAATCTTGTTTATCACAAACTTTCGCGATGTAGTCTTTAATTTCCGTTAAAACTTTCGTATTTTGTTTGAAATGACTATTTAATTCTTGAAGTGTGTTAGCTAAGTCGCGTAAATCGTTTGTTGAAACAGATGCTGAATGAGAACTGTGACTTCGTTTTGCTGAAAGATGTTGATAAGGTGACGATGCTGCTGGTAATGTATATGAAGACCCTGCCGATGAATTCATTGAGAAGATTTCAAATCTAAAAAGAAATATCAAAATTCTTCTCAAGTCTTCAGACCAAATTTCAGGGAAAATCGTCTCATCTTTGTTTCTCCATCAACAACTTGCCTTATGCGACTCAATATCCTTGTTGATGTTAATAATGAGAAGACGAAATGCTTGTAATGATAAAGAACAGAGAGAGAGAGAGAAAGACATTCTATCCCAAAACTTGCCGACATATGCGAAGAGAACAGCAACAGTATTATACATCGATCATAAAGAGACAAGACAAATGTTACTATATAAACGCTGAGTGGCAAAGGAAAAATGTGTATGTTGTTCTATTTGACATAAAAATCAACATCTCGAAGACTAACATTATTCGTTAACAGACACTTCGATGTATTATATTGATAAAAAGGTATGGATCTCCTGAGACAAGAAAAAGGAAATGACTTTTGTCAAATACGTTGAGAGGATTGACAAAAATCGAATTTCGTTTTGATTTGAAAGAGTAAAATAGGTTAATTAAAGTTTTGCTTATCTATCTTATTTGATCTTGACAAACTGATGAAAGAAAATATTTCATATTGAATAGAAAACAGTATCAATCAATCAATCAACATTTTATGGTAGAAGATTTCCTGTTTCTGGGAGACTAAAAAACAAAAATAACATTCCACTAAGTAGCTTTTTACTTCATATAAACACATCGATATCAATATCAGTCTTCCACACGATTCAAATCATATCAAACACGTTCTTTCAATGAATTCATATTTGTTTTTTCAGTATGTCGACTGACAAACTAATAGATCTGAAGTTTTCTATTCAAAGATAAACTGTAATTCAGTTTTATTTCTTTTCTCCTTTACACAAGACGTTTTTGCGCTCTGAATCATCGAATGTGAAATATAAATCCGAAGTTCCACTCCAGAATTCAAAAACTTCAATCGTATCACAATTGTAGAAGATGTTTTGAAAAAACATTTAGACCACTTTGCAGGAAAGTTCTACGATCTATTCGTGGATAACTTCGAAAATCGAACATTCCATTTTGACTGGTTCATGGACTGAACGAGAAAACCTCAGCGATGATCACCTTGCAACAGATATGCCGATACACGAATCTGTATTCGACTTACTATAAAGTTTTGTGTTGAATTCACCAATTCAAAACACAAAAAATCTTACGGCATATCTTTCGATGCGATAGAATTATGTTAAAACGAGGTAAACTGTTTCTTCCATACTGTTCGAATCGATGAATCTTCTCGAATAATGGATGGTGAAATAACCTCTGTGCGTCAAGAACATTCTCTATGCGCGTGAAAAGAGAAAATGTAATACATAAGGCACGTTTTCTTAGCCGTGAAATGATTTTTCGAATGTGATTAAAACTAATTTGAATTGAATTAACAAAAGTAAATGAGTATTTTGTTTAAAATATCATCAGTGAATTGAGAATAAATGAAGAAATCTAATGTGCCAAGTCGTATTAATAGCCGAATCTTTGAATTTCTTGCAAGGGATATGCGTATTACAAAAATTAAATGAGAAAATCAGTATTCTTGTATAAATCAAATCCGAGCCATTGAATAGTTCAAACTGCTGAAAATTTCACTCTTCTTTCCAAAGTTACCGAGTGCGGAACAACGAACATATCGATCAATTCCAGTGATATATTCACTTTTTGAAAACAGTCAAAATACGGCTTATTCAGGAAATTCTCTATTATTTTCCAAATTGTTGAATAATTTCATAATTATTAACAAGTATCATTCAAATAATTTGTATATCTCTAATTTGGTCATCGCTATTCCATAAACATAAACGCTTCCGTATAAAAGTTTTGTGCCGAATGTCGATGAAAACTGTATCATAACGGAGATATTTTCTCATAAATTAGAAAAGGTTTCCCATGAATGAATATTCGAATAATTAATTCGATGACGAATGTACTAGAACGAGATTGTGAACTTTCGTTACATGGTCGTCCGATTCATCCGAGAAACTTCTCTATTCTCTGATGATCTTCATAATCTTTTTTATTCTACATGATGATGATATGTGATCACGCCCTGGATGATTTAAGCCTGGACAACTAGAAGAAAGAGAATACCATTGTGGAATATGTTAACTTATAAAGAAAGAAAGCACAGAGTGATATCATATCACATCATATCATATCACTCTCTTCTTTGTAAATACTTTGTCTAGGGCAGGTCGATGAGGGGTATAAAAAGATGCCTCCAATCCATAAATATTTACCATTCATCTTCCAAACCTAAAGATTTAACATTATCGATTAATACGATTGTTAGCAATGACTTGGGTATGTTCTAATGATTTCTTTTTTCAAATCCTATCTAATTTCGATGTTTTTTTTCTTTTCAAATAGATTTCATTAGTTTGCTTGCTCGCTCTGTCGAGCTCAGCTTTGGCACGATCAGGTAAGGCGAATTTCGTCTCGAAATTCTCCACCTAGCTCCTTTCGTTTGTATTTAGTTTCATATGGTTCATATGGATCTGTTCAAATGCCCCAAGTTTCATCTGCAAATCTCATCCGTGATTTCGGAAGCCAACAAGTTCAACAACCATCATTCACCCAAACTGGATACGGACAACAACCACAAGTTTTCCCACAACCATCCCTTGATGAACGTGTTCCACAACCAGAAATCCAATCCGTCCAAACTGGATATGGTCAACAATATGCTGCTCCATCCATGATCCGCAAAACAGTTCCACAATTCGACCAATCACTCCCCAAAACATACCCAATGGCCCGACCAACACCAACACAAATCCAATTATTGGAAGAACAAAAATTACAATTGAAAAAGATCATCGATGATGCCACAATCCCAACTGAAGCTGGTAAGAGAAAATACTTTCTATTCGAGATGATCGAAGATTCTGACCTTGACTCGTTTTCATAGACAACCTCTGCCGTGGCCAACGCCCAGAAACCGTCATCCCATTAGATAACGGCCGACGATTTGTTGTCTGCATTGATGAAGCCAAAGGTCAAGAACAAACATGCCCACGTGGTCTTCTCTTCCACCCCGAATCACGCCGATGCGAACGCAAATTAGGCCCATTGGAAAACCCATGCTCATCACAACCATGTCTTAACAACGGACAATGTGTTCAAACCGACTTCACATCATACAAATGCCAATGTGCTCCAGGTTTCGATGGTGAACACTGCGAATTAGATGCCACAGTCTGCCAAACCCAACAACCATGCGGTCAATCACCAGACACCAAATGTCAATCATTCCGATGGGGAGCTGCTCTTAAACACATTTGCATCCTCCAAAACGGCCGTGCCTATGGTCTTACAGCTTCACAAGCCACACCAAGCCCATGCACAGGTGTTGATGGAGTGTTCCCATTAGCCTTCAGCGACAAAGGTTTCATCATGTGCAACGGTGACTTAATGTATATCGAAACATGCCCAGGTGGTACAGTTTGGGATGATCTCAACAAAGCTTGTGTCTGGCCAGATATGCAAGGACTCTCATTCGAAGATCAAACACCACAAGTCCCATCATACGGTCAATCATCATACGGATCAGTTCCACGATCAATGACACCACAAGCTGATGTTCCACAATACGGACAAATCCAAATTAAAACCTTCACCCAACCAAAACTCGACCAAGTATCAACATACGGCCAAGTCCAAACCCCATTAGTTCAAGATTTACCAAAGCAAACATACGGTGGATATCAACAACCACAAATCCAAATCCAAATCCCACAACAAGATGTACCAAAATCATTCGGCGGATACCAACAACCACAAATCCAAATCCAACAAGATTTACCAAAAGTCTCATATGGCGGATACCAACAACCACAAAAACCACAAGTTTTCCAACTCCCACAACAAAAGGACTTCCTCCGTCCACAACCACAACAACCATCATCTGGTTATTAAACAATCACAAGATCGGAAATGAACGTCAAGCGTTAGCTAGCGTACTTTTCTAATCGTTTTTCCTTTTAACATCTAGGTTTACTTTTAGCCTCTTTATTTCTTCTCATTTTCATTTTTTATGAAATTGGTTTTTTTTCTGAAACATCTCATTTTGTTTGTTTTTGACAAGCAATAAATGCCGATCAAAACAGAAAAAGCGAATATTTTCTTTTCTTTTTAATTTCGACAAAAACGAATCGATTCAAATCGAAAACGAAGGCAAAAGATATCTGTTCGTAAAGAAATGAATTCATAAGTTCGAAGACAATCTTGTTCACTTGAAAAATAACTTCTTTCATATTCAATTTGTGTCAGAGGACAATGAACTAAATGTTCGATTAAATCAGGACGATAGTGTCGTATTAATTCATCGTTTTCCATCATGAAAACAGGATCAACATGTTCTAAGAGAATCTTCTCATTCTCTGGTGGTGATGCAGGCGTTTCAATTAACCGAGCTTTTTTATCAAGAGACTTTGAAGTTCTCGAGAAATATCGTCGTTTGACTCGCCATGATGGAATTTCCCATTGAGATTGGTCAGTTATTCGATTATAGTAATAAATTCGTCCGGTTGAACTTCGATGCTTTTCCCAATAAGTCAACGAATGTTTGCGTCTTTTTGAAAAACGCTCATTTCTCTTCATTGAGCGCTCAGCCAACTCTCTGTCAAGAGTAGATAATCAATTTACTGAACTGTTTTATTCATTAGAGAGATAAACTTTAGAAATGAAAAATGATTTTCAGCCGATTTCAAAATATCGAAGGCGCTTGTCTTGTTCGTTATTAATCAATAAAAACGAAGGTACATCAAATAGTCCCCAGATATTTTCTCACAGTCGAATGTAACTATCGATTCAAGAACGAAAGTGTTTTGTAAATAGAAAACTAATTTTTGAAGAAAAAAAATAAACTGGAGAAGTTGGGCATCGATCCCAATACCTCTCGCATGCTAAGCGAGCGCTCTACCATATGAGCTACATCCCCGTGTGAATTTTCACATCAGGTTATCATCTCATTTTGTTCTCTTTTACGAAAGATTTCGTATGTAATCAATTTCGAACGTTAGAACGCGTTTTTCCGAACTCGACAATTTGAAATCACTCTCGATTCATTAGATTCAGATAATCAAATGACTTATTTATTGATTCTTAGATAACAATGAAAAATTTAAGTGCTATTGAATTTTTCGTCGAATATGATTCTTTCACGAGCGAAAAGCCGGTTTTTCTCTGTATTCATATTGTAAGACACGAGTCTAAAACGGAAAGGATCGAAGTAAAATATCGAGCAGATGTCTTTCTTACTTCTTTGATCATATTTTGGAAAAGTTCTTCATACTGATCAAAATCTTGACGACAATCTTTCAGTGAATCTTCAATTTGTTGATCGACGCGATTTAACATTTGCCAATCGATTTCTGTTAATGATGGGCAAATGATTTTGAACATATCTTCATCTTTACTTGGAATATCCCAACTAAAAAAAAGCAGATTATTGAAATATCAAAGGTTCTAAGAGAAAATCAACTGTTGAGTTTCTTGTTTTGTTGATGAATCGTTTGTTGCAGGTGGTTCGAGTATTGTCGAGTCTTGTGTTCGAATTCCGAGTAGTTGTTTCAGTGAAGTCAGTGGTGTTGATGGAGTTTGAGAGAGAATTTCTGGTAATGGAGTTGGTGGTGATTGAATTATTGGTTGATTTGCTAAATTAATTTGATTGAATTGTTCGTTTGACCAAGTGAAAAGATTTGAACGAATTTGATTCGACAACGATAAATGGAGAATGTTCAACGAGTGAATGTGCTGAGGGAATTCAGAAATTAGACGAGTGTAATCACGAATTTTTGATTCAAGTCTGGAAAAAACTGAGAAATTGAAGATGAAGGATGAACGAATTCTTACTTTTCTAATTTGTCGAAGGGATTTTCTTGGATAATTTTGTTCAATTGTTGATCGATTCGATTCAATTGATTTCTTTGTTCAGTTATTTGTTGATGAATTTGTGGAAGAAGATTTTCTTGAGATTTTTTTGTTTGTTCAGCTTCTGTTTGAACTTTCTTCTTTAATAGATTCAAGTGATTTTCGATTGATTTACTCTAAATATAAAACAGATGTTATGTATCAATTAAAAAGTTAAACTCACAGCGATCATCGCATCAAGAATTGTTAATAATTGACCTTGTTCATTTGATGCACGACGAGATAAAACTTCACGTTTACTTTCTTGAAGACGATGACGAAGTTTTGCACATTCCAGACGAATATTTGCCAAATGAACAAATCTATTTCAAAATAATGTTCAAATTACTCATGTAGAACTTCTCTGTCTGACTGAGATTCAATTTCGATATTTGTCATGGGTGTTGACTGAGAACAAAACTTATAGTACAGTTCTCTACCATCTATCTGACTTTGCTCGTTTTCCGTTAACCTCTATGAATGATCATGTTGAAGCAGAATGAAAATAACTTACTGTTTTGTGAAATCTAAATTTGTTTTGGTTAGTGCATCTTCATAACTTTGGATAATCGTGAAATTTCTTTCTTCATCATTGTTTTCGATTTTACTAAAAAAAAAGAAATTCGTTTTATCGAAATTTTTTTGTTGAAATCGAATCACTTTAATTGGTTGATTCTTTGTTGAATTTGATTTATCATTGCTGAACACAAATCATTGAAATTCACTTCTTGTTGAGATTTTTCTGTCAACGAAGTTTTTGTGTTTAGTAAATCAAGAATTAATTCTAAAGACAAACGCTCAAAACAATACTTTTGTGATCAAATTCTAACCTTGTCGATTATCTGTCGAAAAAAATGAATTGAATTGTTGTTTCAATTGTGATAATTGATTGAAGTCGAGTGAAATCTGTCGATAAATTTGTAATTGTTTATCTAACGATGAAATCATTTCATGTTCATCATTCATCATCGTATCCACTCGATTTAATTCATTGAAAATGTTTGTCGATTGATCACTTTTCAGAGCAGAAATTTCGCGTAAACGCAGCTGAATTCGTTGCTCAATTTGTCCTTGCTGAATTTGAGCGTTTTTATGTTGTTCCCATCGATCTGGATGACGTTGTTTCAGATCATTGATGCGAATCGTCTCCTTCACTTTTCTGTTAAAAAATGCGCAAAACTTTGTTTCTTGATTGAAAATCAAATCAACTAACTTGACGAATTCAGTCGGATGACAATGTCGAATGAGTTTTTGCCAAATGTCTTGAAGATTTGGATTTGATGTCAAACATTGAAGATTTTCTTCGTCGAGGGGAATGTTTGCTAAGAATAAAAATAATTTCAAGAAAATATTTCATGAAAATTTAATTTACTTTGAAACGATTGAAACCACCGAAATAAAGCATTCGAACAATGATCATTATCGGTTAACATTTTTGGTCTTTTGTTCTAATCGAGATGACTGAATGGTCCACAATCTCCTCACCAATGATTTAGTACAATGTAAATTTCAAATGAAGGTACGTATCCGACTATATTCTTGTTAGCGATAACAGATAGTACGTTGTTATCGATATCTTGTTTTTTTTTTCTTCTTTCTCTTCTTGTTCAGACCTATATGTCCTATGTACGGTTCGATGCCATAATATATAGATCTCCTTTCTCTCTCTCTGGTTTTTCTCTCTATGCCGCTTGTCTGACCTTTCTTTGAACTTGTAAGATCAGACAGAGGCAGTTGTCTTTGAACTGTGATCGACATCGGTCGTTTCTTTTTCTTTCTCTCGTCGTTTATCAATAAACGTTATCACGAAGACCTCGATCCCGTCATTCATTACTCGAACTCCGAAGTAGGACAACCACATACTAAGGGAACCGAACCGATACAGATCATCAGCTTTTTCCGTTACCTTCCGTTCCGCCTATTAACGTCTAGTGGGCAGGAGTCTTTGGATTGTAAGTATTAGCTAACAATTGGTGGAGAAGTTGGGCAACCTTTATTCGATCTGTATCAGTTCCACTAACCCTTTCCATTTCGATTTTGGTTCGTGGTCTTGTCGAATTTGGGTAATATCGATCTCGAATTTCGATTGTTCAGTACGGATTTGAGGCCATCAACACATAACACAGTGATTTAGCCCGCAATACTTTATTTATTAATGAAAGTACAAATTCAGCCAATCCAATTAAGAAAAACACAAGTTCATGTATAGTAATTATATGGCGACGAATTGTCCAAGCGCCTAGGGGTAACATTTTCGTAACCAACTAATGACTAATATGCGCTCCCTGATCGGCTATAACCACATCTACAGTACAGCATATCATCCGCAATCTTACGGCATTGTAGAACGCTTTAACAGCACTTTCATCCCGCAAATTTCCAAGTTACAGGATTACGAACATAATAATTGGGATGAATATCTACAGGCTGTTGTCTTCGCATATAACTCCGGTGTGCATAAAACAACTCAATATTCACCGTATGAATTACTTTATGGACGTCCACCTCCGACTCACTTTTCATTCCCTTCTCCTTGCGATTATTTAGACCAACTCCACAAGACACTCAAGCTATATCATAAGTCTGCTCAATCTTATATCGTTCAGCAGCAAGGTCGCAATAAATCACGCTATGATACTAATCGTTCTGACCCCTATTACAATGTAGGCGATCGCGTTCTTACACGCGTTCATGGCATGAACGATAAACTTGGACCTCTCTTTTCACCATCCCCAAAAATCGTTGTACACACTCCATCCCACATATATGGTTTGTGATGAACAAACTCACAGTGAATTTCGCGTACACGTCAACGATTTACGACCTTTATGTCATTTCTAATTCTGTTGTTCCGCTACTACTTCACTCTATTATTTCTAGTTATTCAGTTTCTATATACGGCTTTCCCTTATGATCTAACATTTTCCTTTACCGCAGTAGAGCTTCATTATACGACATCTATCTTTCATCGCTATCCTTATCGTCTCCCCCGCATGAACATTACTAGTACTATAATTTTTCCATCTCATTCGCTTCTTCCTTCGCACGCTACACAATTGAACTATAAAACATTTGTCTTAGTTCGTTTTCATACGATACGCGATCACATTTTCACAATACGTCCCATGATCGATCCTCCCCCGCAGCGGACCCAGACCATTTTTTTCTCTCTCTACTATGCACTAAATCGTTTTCATTTAGGTACCATTTCAATTGTTGTATTTATTCATTCCATATAATATCTCGTCATGGCTTCTTCCTCGTTCGCTGTACCCGCATATCTCGCGCTTACCGACAGCCACGGTAAGTATACGCCAACCAACATCTCAACGTCGACATATTCCATCGTCACGCAAGCCGTCTCAGGACTCCGGTGGTTCGATCCATATCGTGTAGATTTATCTGCACTGACTTTGTTATCGACACCTCCTCTCTCGTCCCAATTATCATCAACATCGGCTCTTTTATTCGTCATCGGCACCAATTCCATCCGATCCAATTCTGCCTCGGTCGCCCTTTCGGACATCAAGCGGGTCATCGATTTCGTACGTACCACTCACCCTCACTTATCAAGCAAGCATTCCATCAATATCATTTGCTGCTTCCCATGCCTCAAACCCATCTACCCATCCAACATCACTCATTCATTACTCAACAACATCCACGAGTATAATTGCTCGCTTTTCGCTCTCGTCGACACCCTCAACTTCACCGTCCTCAACTTCGATGTGACACCTTCCCATCTCGGTTCTGATCGCATGCATCTACACCATAATTATAAGGATCTAGTCCCCGATTCTATTAACAATTATTTCGCATATTTGTCGTCAATTCCTGCAACGGTGCCCTTCAAAACCACCGATCGTTCTTCTGAAGCCGTCGCTCGTCCTAATCACCGACGACATATCAAACGAACCACTCAACAACAACAGCACGTTCTTAAACGTCGAGTCTCCTCCCCTTGGAGACTAGACACCATTAAGACGTTTCTGCAGGAGCAGCATATCAAATTTGCTAAACTTCCCCCTATCTACCGCAACATCATCCGCATTCAATTCAACAACGCCCCAGGTTATTATGGCACGGTCGGTTCCGGCTGGTTAGGTTCGTTGTCCGACCATTTCCTTGCTGCTGGATTCCGGCCGGAAGTTCAAACGTAGGTTCCAGTCATTTCCTGTGCAATTCCGCTCGGAATTCGGTGGCAAGGAACCTGCTGGAATCGGCGAAAACTGTGCCGGAATCGAGAAGAGCTGAACCGGATCCGACTCAGATTTCAACGGATTCAGTCGCCGGAATGATCGACCTGGGGCTGACGGCCTTCAAGCGGCGGATTGTGTCTTGAGCCAAGCCGTATTTTCGTAACTCCGTGAGTTATTTTCTTTCTTGTTTGTGTGTGTCTCTCCGTTTTGGCTCGTTCTTCTTCTTCTCTTTTCTCTCGTCGTTTATCAATAAACGTTATCACGAAGACCCCGATCCCGTCACTCATTACTCGAACTCCGAAGTAGGACAACCACATACTAACGGAACCGAACCGATACAGATCATCAGCTTTTTCCGTTACCTTCCGTTCCGCCTATTAACGTCTAGTGGGCAGGAGTCTTTGGATTGTAAGGATTAGCTAACAATTCTATAGGTCGACTGGACTGAATACTTTAAAGAAAAGTGACAGAGCTAGGTAAAGTCAGTCGTCGAAATGTCGCTCAATGAAACAGATAGAATGAATAAAGAAGTTAGAGAATTTGCTAAAATCGTCTTGGATTATTCAAAACTAAAGTATTTTATTATGTTTTTTTTTCTTGCAGAATGAAGTACCCGAGGGTGATATTATTAACGCGCCGCATCTTCAAGTGACGCTACTCGATCAAGTGCTACAGCAATCGTAAGCGAACGTACAGTCATTGACGAATAATTTGACTAACAAATACCAAAAAATCCAACGACAACAAGAAGAATTAGAACAGCAGAACGAAGAATTACAACAAATGGGAAAATAATTGGAAAAGATGGAGCAACAATTACGAACACAAACACGTCGAAATAAAATTCTATGGTGGGGCAGTGAGTGTCATTTGATATTTTATTTTAAAGCCAATAGAAAATCATATTTTTTTTCATTTCAGTCCCAAGTGTAGTCCTCGGTATCGCAATTTGTATGAAATATCAATAATTCTTTTTAAAATAGTTTTTGAATTTATCAAATAAATTCAAATTCATTGAACTTAGAATGCTCTTTCTTCTCGTCTGGCACTGCTTCATTTGATGAAACATCGCGCATTTATCCAGTCGAAAAGAAAGGAAAGAACCAATAAGTCTATGGAGATGTTCCATCTAAGGTGCTCCATATAGGAATCTACAAAAAGCAAAACAAAGAAAAACAATACATAGTTTGTTTCATAACAATTGGTTTTTAATATTCAACTGAAAACACTTTCGATATTTTTTACTAGTAATTCATTTCTAACTTCATCAAGATCTGAATGATCATTCGTATCTCTTGATGGTAAAGACATCCCATAAGGTTTGGCGTCGAATTAAACGATTGAAGTGTTTCGTTCAAAGAGAAAAAGAAGGACTTTGGATCTCCGGATCGTAGAAGCTCCTGAAAAAACACGAAGCTTTCGTATCTTAACATATGTCCTAGTGTCTTTTAGAATCTGAGAAACATATCTCATCCTGGATCTGAGATCTTCTATAAAAGTTTTTCTTCTAATGACAAACAAAATAAAAACTTTGATAATCTTTTCGTAACGATCAATCAGTTGATTCTTGTCAGTCATCTTTCTTATGAATTGAGCTGATATGAAGAAATCGCTTATCCACAAGCGTTTATTCTTTTTTTAATAACCAACACCCTCATTAAGTAGTCGGGAAGACGTCTAACTTGAACAAAATAAAGCTATTTTCACAGTCGGGTAACTGTGCATTTTCAACGAGTACATATGAGACAAGCACTTCTACAACTACTAACCATTCATCAGGTAAGCAAAATTCATTTCCAATTGTTTTTATGCGTCAAATCCGCTCGTCTTGTAGGAACACCAAAAACGCCACTCTCATCAACTAAATCTGGCTGGTCATGGATGTCATTCGGTGGAAATCACCCGGCAAAAAAGTAAATGATTTTGTGACGATCGATTTATCTTTAAAAACCTATTCATTTTTTCAGAACAATGAGTCCACCTAATTCACCATCGTCCAGTTTGGATCTCAGCCATATAACATCAAGATTAATGGGTATGTTTCTTTTCCACTAAAATATCTCGCGCGTAAATTTACACACCTGTTGGATCTCGCGAGAGTTTATCTTAACTTGTTTGAAATAGTTGAGTACCTGAATGTTTGAAAAAGAAGTTTCTACTGATAAGATATGATATGCGTGTAAGTAGAATGGAATTCCAATATTTTCAGTCATGAAAACGCCTCAAGATGGTAAAAGAGTTCATATGCTGTAGCATACTCATGCATTCTGTAATGCATCTTGATCTGATTGGTGAACGTTTGGACAAGGAAGAATGTTGAAATTGTTGATCAGTGGTAACAAAGCATACGAAGATTTATTTTTTCGACTGACGCGAATCGCGATGTGTAAATTTCAAATCAAGGTACGTATCCGACTAAATTCTATAGTCAGACTGGTGTGAATGAATACTATAAAGAAAACGGACAAAAGAGGTATATAATGTCAGTCATCCAGGATCGATAAATGTCGCTGAGAGAGTCCGATAGAGTTAATAAAGAAGTAAGACAACTTGTTGAAATCGTCTTTGATTATTCAAAACTGAAATCCTCACGTCGTGTTTCTTTCTTGCAGAACGTAGTGCCGGCCGGCGACATAGTGAATGAGTTCCACCAAGAAGTGGCAGAGTTCCAGTCAATCGTTCAGCTGCTTTAACAAGACATTCAGTCATTGAATAACAACTTGGCTGCAAAGAATCAAGAAATTAAGATGCTCAATGTCGAATTAAGACAAGAAAAAAATTGAAACAAAGTTTTAAAGTGGACAAGTGAGTATCATTTGATATTTCATTTTCAGGTCCCAGGTCAACAAATCCGATGCTGGATCCGATCGGATCTTACCGGATCCGACCATCTGACAAAATCCGATCGGATTCCTGGAAACGGAATTGCATTGGAATCCGACTAGAAAAATCCCGTCGGTTGTTGCAAATTTTTATGAGCGATCTTTCTAGCTATATTCTATGATGACCCTCAGAAAATCCAGGAAATCCATGTTTCGGATCCGTCGAATTCCTGTAGGATCAGATAAAATTCTGTATTGGATCCGATGGGATTCGAGTATGGGATTGTTCGACCTGGGATCAAAAGAAAAATCATGGTTTTTTACACTTCAGTTCCAACTGCACTCATGATCGCTATCGTCATCTTTTTTAAGTGTAAATAGTTTTTTCAATGATAATTTTTACATTAACAATTTTTTTGTGGATAATTTTTCAATTGGTTAAATACATCAAAATTCGTTCCACTTAAAATGTTCTTTCTTCTCATTTGCCATACAACTTTATTTGATAAAACATCGCGCATTTATCCAGTCGAAAAAGAAGGAAAAAACCAATGAGTCTATGGAAATGTTTCATATGAGAGGGTCCATCACCTGGACAGATGATCTATAGAGGAATATACCAAAAGCGAAAGAAAGAAAAATAGTACATAGTTCGTTTCATAACGATTGGTTTTTCTATATTCGATTGCAAACGCCTTCGAAATTTTTGACTAGTAGTTCATTGCTAACTTCATCAAGAACTGAATGATCATTCGCATCTCCTGATGATAAAAACATCCGACAAAGATTGGTGTCGAATTGTAAGATTGAAGTGTCTTGTTTAAAGGGAAAAACGGATCTTGGATCTCTGGATCCTGACAGGTGGTCAAATAAAAAGCAAACTGCCATACATTCACATTGATCTCATTCGACTCCATAGGTGTAATGAAAGCAGAACTTTATGGTACCAACTTTTGAGTTTTTAATACATCTGTACTTTTTAAATTTAGAATACCGCCCATACGTACTACAAACCTAGCTCATGTATGTGAAATCATATCTTATCTCTTTTGGGTACCTTTTCTTTGCACATGTTTACTTAGTATTTTTGATATTTTGAGTGTAACCGTATAGTTAGTTAGAGTAAACATACAAAGTAAATACATCTGGATTATCAATAGACTGAATAGATTGGAAAGTAGCAATTAGTGATAAAACATCCTATAGGAACGATAAACATCGAGGAATAAATAGCACTTCGAAGTGTCAAATAGTTCATAGTCGGTATACCTGTCGACTTGAGTAAGTGTTAACGAATTGTCCTCATTTAATGGAAGGCATTCTTTTCCTATAATCGTGACCCCGTTGCTTTTTTTTTATTTAGAAGAAGCTAGTTTCTTTTCTAAAATTCAAGTTGAAATATTAAAAACCGATAGAATTGAAACCACTGAGTAAAATAAAACTATCGAAGAATCAATTGCACCACAAATTGCAAATAGTTTATTGAAATATTCGTCGCATCATCAATGCATCGTTTAGAGATATCTTCGCAGTATCTGTTAATGTCGTCGTGTGTTTTTCATTCGTTTGCTCATCGTTTTCTATTTGAAAGGAGAAGAAAAAACAACTTTGTATTCGACGTCGAATGATGTTCGGGCAAGCACCTTGAATATTCTTCTCATCGATTGAATTAGAACATTTACTACACTTCGATAAAGATTTTGATTTCACTTTAAAACAATGGAATTCGAAGAATGATCAGCAGCTAATATTTTTCTTTCTGATTGAATCGGACAGCAGTCGAGTTTCACATCTATGGAGAGAAGATCTAATAACATTTTCAGTCAAATTAAGTGAAAGATATTTGATCAACTATGTATTTGATAAGATTTTCTTCAGACAAAGAATTTTAAGATAAGATCCTCAGAGAATGAGACAAAATTTTGACCTATACACCTTGTCTTATCTATAATGTATACATAAAACGTGTCTCTTAACGAAGAAAAAAAATCTCTCGATCTTTTTTCTCTTGCACTATAAAAAAGGAAATGTTCGCCTTTTTGCATTTATATTGAAAACTTTTGAGTGATAAAACAAATTTGTTTCTCTTACACTTCGATGCAACGAATGGATACCCAACCAAGACCAACAGAACCTGTTCAAACCTTTACTAAGCCACCGTTTACACGTAGTATTTCAATGAGTACATATGAAACAAGCACTTCTTCAACTAATAATCATTCATCAGGTAAGCAAAATTCATTTCCAATTGTTTTTATGCGTCAAATCCGCTCGTCTTGTAGGAACACCAAAAACGCCACTCTCATCAACTAAATCTGGCTGGTCATGGATGTCATTCGGTGGAAATCACCCGGCAAAAAAGTAAATGATTTTGTGACGATCGATTTATCTTTAAAAACCTATTCATTTTTTCAGAACAATGAGTCCACCTAATTCACCATCGTCCAGTTTGGATCTCAGCCATATAACATCAAGATTAATGGGTATGTTTCTTTTCCACTAAAATATCTCGCGCGTAAATTTACACACCTGTTGGATCTCGCGAGAGTTTATCTTAACTTGTTTGAAATAGTTGAGTACCTGAATGTTTGAAAAAGAAGTTTCTACTGATAAGATATGATATGCGTGTAAGTAGAATGGAATTCCAATATTTTCAGTCATGAAAACACCTGAAGAAGCGCCATCGAATACATCAACTCGATCAACAGCTGATTTAGCACGTGAATTGCTCGATAAAGATCATCCGGATTCATATATGTTGTTTTCTCTTGATCAATCTTCTACCAATGAGCTATCTTACCAGAAGGAATTTTTCCATAATCAAGTTTGTAGATGCGTTTTGAGAAAAAAAAAGAAATTTGTATTGTTGTTAGGTTCTCGATATTCCATTATTTGATGAAAAGCAACAGCAACCACCAACTTTACTTATTAATTTATGGTTTTGCCAAAAAGTTACATCTTATCTCTTGGAATCTCCATCAAATGTCGCTGTACTTCATTGTCATGTAAGCTAATCTTGATTTTCTTTCTTAAATCAACTCAACTGTTGTTTTTCATCAGGATGGGAAAAATCAATTAGCATTCGCCGCATGTCTACTACTTGCTTATCATAAATTATATCAGAAATGCGAGCAAATCATTCAGTTCTATACATACTATCGTTCAATTCCACCAACATTCACCATGTCACAGAAAAGGTTTGTCAAATCTCTTGTTTAATCCACTTCATCAGTTATCTTCTCAGATATATCCAATATCTTTGTGATTTATCACATGGAATCATCGAAAGTCCACATTTCAATGAATTAGTTCTTCAATCGATTAATTTGACACCGATTCCGCTTGTCAATCGAGCGAAGTTTGTGATTATTCTACTTTGTAATGGCTACTAACTCGCGTATTTCGTCTTTTAGAACATCTTGCCGTCCATTCGTTGATATTTACGATCAAGATCAGAAGAAAATCTTTTCCACGCACCAAGAAACATCAAAACTTCGGTGAGAGATTCTTGAATCTCCTCTGTAAAACTGTTTTTTGATTTTGAACAGAGTTTATACGTCATCGGAATCGATCTGTACCATTCCAGTTGATCTTCGGTTCAGTGGTGATTTAACAATTCATATAACACATGCATGTTTGAATAATGCTCGTCGAACACATGTAAATTGCCTCATTCGAAAATCGAAATCTTGTGAAAATTGTGATTTAGGAAGGCGGAGTTCGTATTTGCGAATTAACGATCAATTCGAATTTCAGTACATTTAACGATCCGGAGTTATCGTATTTACGAAGTGAATTGGATGGAGTTGATCGGAATGAAAAAAATCCGATCAATTATCGGGTTTCACTTCATATTACAAATCATCAAAAGCTCGCTGATAATCAACAGGATCCATTTTTAAAAGAACTAGAAAGTACATTGGAACATCCGTTGGCTTTATTTCGCGATGAAAACGAAATGAAACAAAAAATGACCGACATAGGTGAGAGAAAAAACAATTTACTGATGCTTTCATCATTTGTTTTATTAGAGAAAAAAGAAAATTCGGAAGTAAACCATCAACCAGTTGTTCATCGACCACCAAAACATAATGAACCAATATCCCCTAGTGCGACTAATACCTCTTTACGACCAGGTAACCGTATTTCTGGGCCACAATCTCCCGCACCAACTTCTCCATCCTCATCATTTGTTAATCCAATGCTGGAACATATGAAAATGAGTCAACGTCAATCCACAATTCAATCTTCATCAGCTCAAGAAAAAGTCACAGATTCCAACGTTGATATTCTCGGTCTTGGTGAAGAAATTACCTCTACTCAGCATTGTCTCGAAAGATCCATGTCATCTGATACTCAACAAGATCTTTTATCAAGTATCGATTCTGACGCCGATCCAACCATTGGAGGTGCTCAATCAACTAGACCTCCTCTGCAAAGATTTTTATCCCAAACAGGATCTTTGCCAACACCTATGAAAGCAACAACAATTCCCAAGCCAAAACAAGAAACACCGGGTAAGAAATTTCTCGACAGATGCCACCCGTTTCTAATCATGTCTAAGTTATGCAATTCATCGCTTTTCTTCTCTCTTCTATCGTTCAATATATATGATGATAAGGAAAGTGTCTCACTTGTCCCACTACGGTGGGACATATAATAAAATTGGAACGATACAGAGAAGATTAGCATGGCCCCTGCGCAAGGATGACACGCAAAATCGTGAAGCGTTCCATATTTTTTTTTCTTCTTCTAGCTTTTACCCAACGATCCAAAGATTCCAACTATGATCTGTTTCGAACAGAAGAAACTCGCCCATCTACTCAAACTTTACCAAGTAAACGAAACTATTCGTCTCTGATGTTCACGAA